CTTGATAGCTGATTTGGCCAATGTAGTACTCATTGGATTTCTTGACTGCTGTTTTCATAGGTGTTAATTGTGGGCCCAAATACAATTAAATGCTTGACACTTAAATCTTCTCTCCATTTTCCATAATGTAGTTTTTTGGTCCATTTGGGAAGAGCACTGATAGCCTAGTGGGTTAGGGGTTACGCTTCTAACCCGTGACAGGCAGTTTGAAGATGGAAACTCTCCTCCTGTGTGATTTACCCACCGGATGACCAGCTATCAGCCACTTCCAACTCAATGACAATGAGGTTTGTTTTTTTTCATTTTAAGTTGTGGTATCACTCCTACTGAAGGCTATATAGTCTTTGATCTTCTTCAGTAAGTGCATTAAGTTTTCTTCACTTTCTGCAAGTAAAGTTATGTCACCTGCATAACACAGTTGTTCTTGTTATTAGGTGCCATCAAGTTAAATACAATTCATAGCAACCCTGTGAGCAACAGAGCTGAATCCTGTCTTCTACTGTGCCATCCTCACCAACTTTGATACACTAGAGCTCATTGCTGTAGTCACTGTGTCAAACCATCTCATTGGAGGTCTTCTTCCCTTTTGCTGATCCTTCACTTTTCACTTTTCCAAGCATGATGCCCCTGTCCAAGGAATAACCTCTCCTAGCAATATGTCCAAAGTATGAGAGATGAAGCTTTGCCATCCTAGCCTCCCAGGGGCACTCTGGCTACACCTTTCCCAGAACATACCTGTTCATTCTGTGGCAGTCCATGGGATATTCATTTGTCTTCTCCAACACGACAGCTCAGAGGCATCAGTTCTTCTACTGGCATGCTTATTCATTTTTCCATCTCTCAGATGCATAGCAAGTGTTTGAAAAAACCATGACCTGAATCAGATGCACCTAAGTCTTCAACTGACATGACTGTTCTTCAGTATTTTGTAAAGATTCCTGACAGCAGGTTGTTGGTTAATTCTCACATTCTTCTTATTGTTGTTGTATACTGTCATATCGGATCTGACTGGCACAGGAGGAGTTTGCCCCTCCTGCAGCGGAATACCTGGTGAATTCGAACCACTCACCTTTGAGATTGCAGCACAGCTTCTTGCCACTAGGCCACTGTAGCTCCCTCTCTTCAAATTCTAATGTCATATCCTTTTTCATATAGTTCAGCTTCTTGGATTATTTACTAAGCATACAGATTAAATATGGTGAAAGGATACAACCCTGACTGCCTACCTTTCCTTTTTTTTTTTTTTAAAGTATTCAGGATCCCCTTAGGCTGTTCAAATTATTGCAGTTTGAATATGTGTTGTTGTGTTCCCAGAGCAGCAGTAATAAGATTCACCTGAAATTAAAGTGTAAAATATTATTTATAAGCTATATTGTAGCAGTGATCTAAATGATGTGGGGCCCCAAGTTATATACTGTCTAAATGTTAGGGAACACAGAGTCCAAATTAATAGATGATCGTTTGTGAATATGAAAGCAAAGCAAGAGGAAGTGACCGATGTAGAGGGTTGCTTTGGCTAAGACCTCAAGAATCAGCCACTCTAGCAGAGAAGAAGAAAAAGAACCTAAAAAACAAAAAAACCTAAAGATGTCTTAAAAGAGATTTTAAAATAGTCTTAGCTCAATGTAAACAAAAATACATAAAAATTTGTAGGATAGAATTATAAGCAATCAAGATACAACACCTATTGATAATGTCTTTTTTTGTTTGAAGTTTACTTTCTTTTTTAAAGATTTTAATGAAAGGTTACAGAAAAGTTAGTTTTTTTGTTCTCTTTGTTGTACATTTTACTTCCTCTCCCTCCCTTCACCCTCCATTTTCACTTTTATTTATGTATAAGATTATGAATATATATGTTCATTCATTGTTGCACAATTCCCCAGTTCACTTTTGTATATATAGAGAGAGAGAGACCGAGATTGAGATTCTTACCAGCTTTAGTTTGCCTGACTCCACAATCAATACTCTTGGTACCAGCAGCCAGGAAATCAAAAGATGAATTGCACTAGGAAAGTCTGCTATCAGAGAACTCTCTAAAGTACTGAAGAGCAACAGTATCAGTATGGAGACTGTATGGTGCACCTGATCCAGGCCATAGTCTTTGCAATTACTTGCTGTGTTTCAGAAAGCTGGACAATGCCTAGGGATGATAGAATGAGAATTGATGCCTTTGAGCTGTGTTGCTGGTGAAGAGTGTTTAATATACCATGAACTGCTAGGAAAACAATCAGATTCGTCCTAGAGATGGTGAAGCCAGCCTGCTTCTTGGAGGCAAGGATTCTGAGGCTTCGTCTGACGTACTTTGGACGTGTTGCAAGGCGGGATTAGACCTTGGAGAGGGACGTCATGCTTGGAAGGGTGGAGAAACAGTGTAAGAGAGGAAGACCCTCGCTGAGATGGATTGATTCAGTGACTGGGATAATGGGGGTGGGTTGTCAGAGACAATGGCACTGGTTCAGGATAGAGCTGTTGTTGATAGCGTTGTTTAGAGCTTTCATACGTAAAGTTGCTGTGAGTCATAGACGACTCTATGGCACATAACACATTCTGTACTCTTTTTTTTTTAGGTTTTGTAAACTTTTAATACAAAAATTTTAATTAAAGTTTACAGAAAAGTTAGATTTTCATTCACTCATTGTTGCATATTTTTACCCTCTCCCTCTCTTCATCCTCCCCAATTCACATTTTTAAAAATATTCATTCATTGTGCAATTACTTCCCAACATTCTGTCCTCCATTTTAAAAGATCAAGTTCTACTTTCTCTTAATGGTGCATAGATTTTTATCATCCCAACTATGCTATCCCAAAGGCAAATTTTCCTGTTTATTTTTTGTTTCTGTTACCAACAGTATCTTGCCCATTGCGTTGTATGTAATAGATGCTAAAAAATATGTCAAATACTTTTAAAAGGCTGTGGATGATAGTTATGAAAGCAGTGTGTTTTGAGACAATTAACTATGACCAAAAATTCTTTTAGGGCATAACCCAATGCTGTCATGTTGATTCCACCTTAAGCAACCCTCAGTAGCTTTCCAAGGCTGTGTCTTTGCAGGAGGGTGCTGGTCTTTCTCCAGAGGAGTGACTAGTGTGTTCAGCATGTAGGCCTTGTGGTTACGTGCCTGATACATTACTTATTATGCTATGAGGGCTCCTTCTATAGGTCATAAGGTGTTTAAATTTTCTTTTAAGGTGGAGGGACAACTATAAGCAGGTATTTTGATCTCTGTTCACAGAATGTATGTCCTTGCAGTTTATAATAACATCTTAGTTTAATTTGGGGAACTCAAATAGATTTTTCATATCTCTCTAGAAAATTAATTCCACATGTAGGACAGTTTAATTTAGTATTTCGAATTACTGATTTTTCCCCCCACAGCTCTTATCCTTTCTTTCCCCCTATTCCCTCATTGTTGCACATTTTTTTTCTCTGATCCTTTGGAGAGTCTGATTGACGTTAACTTTTGTAATGCACATATACTCCAAAAACTACACTCTTATTTATACAGATAATTTTGTGTTCTGTGTTAGAGAGCTGATTGACCTCAAGAATGTTTGCTTTAATTCGAGCATAAACTATAAATGACTGGCTAAGGGGATAGGAGAATGCACAAAATAGCAGTTGATGTGATTGAGGTTTAACTCTGGTTCTACCATAGAGAAGTAAGTGTAATGTGATTTGGTGAGTCATTTAACTTCTTTCTAGCCCTAGTTTTGGCTTATTGTGTAGTGTATTGGGTTGCTAATCTACCAGCTTTTCCTTGGGCTAAATACAATTTCCCTTAAAAACTTGAAACCTCAGAACCTGGTGGAGGTTTGCTGTGAGTCAGAATTGGCTCAGTACCACCGTGTTTAGATTTTTGGGCAGTAGCAATTCTTTTTTTTTTAATTGATTTGCTTACAAAGTTTATATACATTGTGTTTCACACTGTTCTTCATTCACATTGTGTTTCGTGCAGTCATTCCCATGAATTATGTTTTATAAAATTAATCACCATTGGACTATGCCCATCTCTTGTCTTATTCAGGTCCAGCTGGATTTTTCCGTTTCCTTACCATCTCCCTCCACAGTACCAATTTCATAAAAGGTGTTTAAAATATTTCGTTTGAGCGCATGAGGTACACCCTGGGAGAAAGATGTGGCAGTTTGCTTCCATAAAGGTTTCATCATTAGAAACCTAGTGGCGACATTCTTCTTTGTCCTAGTGGGTCATGAGGAATTAGAATTGACTGGCACCGAGTTTAGTTTTGAGTTTATCCATTTCTTATCTGTAAGGTAAACTTAGTGCTTAAGATTGAACTGATTAGAATATGCAATATACCTAGAATAGTGTGTGGTGCATAGTGTGCTTTCCAGTTCCAGCTTCTTATTTCTCCTCTCTAAGAATTTCTACATTTTGATGATTCCTCTTTCTTCCAATTATCTTTTCTTTAAGAAAGTTTTTTTTTAAATGCAGTGTATTCAAACTTTGTAAATAAATAAGAATAAAATAAAGAATTTAAAAAAGAAAGTTCTTTTACTACATACATTTTAAACATGACTAACAATCAACCTATTCTGTTATCCTTTAAAGCTACTAGTAAACTGTGCCCTAACCTCTTGGTAACTGTGTATTCAGTAGTAAAATGAGATACCTAAAACTGTCATCTTACTATAGTTGAAAATTCTGAACTAGAGGGAATAGATACCTATCAATATGTCAAATCAAGTGGAGAAAGAAACCCTGAGAAAATCTACTTAAAAGATGTTAGTTTAGCAAGCTAGACTTGTTAAATCAAATGAAGCTTTTCTCTGTAAGCATAGTTGCCAAGAATTTCTGTCTTTTCTGACACTAGGTATAGTATATTTTACTAAACTGTTATTCTTAATACAAAAAATTATATAAAAATAAACATTCCATTAATATCTGTGTCAGGAACAACCATGTTTAAAATATGTAACTTTCTGTGTATTACTGAGTAAATCAAACATGTGGGTTTTCTTCTTTTTTACTTTACTCAGGGAAGAAGACAAAAACATATTCGATTACTGCAGGGAAAACAACATTGACCATATAACCAAAGCCATCAAATCAAAAAATGTGGATGTGAATATGAAAGATGAAGAGGTATTTTTCTTATGCTTTCTTATTGTGTCCCAAGGCCTTTTCCTGTGAACTATAATATGCAGTATAGTATGATTGTCCCTCAGGCAAGATGGTTTCCATGTCTGTACCTTACATGTTTCTGTTTATGAAGTAGAAGTTACTAGATGAAACTTTCAGCAGTAATAAAACTTCTCTTGATTTATGATAATGATTGTTACTTTAGCAAGTAGACTCTCTAGGAAATAGTCTCTCTTATAAAGAAATCTTTTCTATTCTAACACTATAACTTAAACAGTTACATTGTTCTTCATTTGTAAATATATTTCTAAGATACTTTTGTTTTTGAGTTGAATAGACTCATGAACAAAAGATCTGAACCCTGTTCTGTCCTGTGCCATCCTCACACTGACATACAAGAGCCGATTGTGGCAGTCACCATGTCAGTCCACTTGGTCAGGGGTCTTCCTCTGCTTTGCCGACCCTCCACCCTTCCCAGCATAATATCCCTTTCCAAGGAATAGTTCCTTCCAGCAACATGCCTGAAGTACGTGAGGCAAAGCCTCATTATTCTTGCCTCCAAAGAAGACTACATATCATAATTTTCATAAACGTCATAATTTAAAATACATGTTCACTAGTAAATGGAGCTCTGGTAGCCTAGTGGCAAGAAGCTGTGCTGCAATCCTGAAGGCGCACAGTTCCAGGTCACCAGCTGCTCTGCAGGAGAAGAATGGGCATTCTGCTTCTGTGTGATTAACTGCCTCTGAAAACTCATCAGAGGGTCAATTATGGCTCAATTCCAACTTGACGGTACACAACTCACTTATTAAAAGGACTCCTTACTTCCTTTAAATAAAACTGTTCACATATTGAGTGTAAACTACCCCTGATTTAAAGTATTTAAAGAAAAAAAATCCACTACATTTTATTAACTTTTAATCATCTTTCACATTCTTTATTTTTATTATTATTATTATTATTATTATTATTATTATTAAATTTTATTCGTTTTAATGAACATTTACAGAGATTTTGGGTTTTCATTCATTCATTGTTGCACTGTTTTCTCCACCCTCCTCCCCAGTTCGTTCTTCTTCCCCCCCCCAATGTCTGTTTTAATTGTCCAGTTGCCACAGTGCTTGTCAAAGCCAGTTCTGATTAATCTCCTTTGACAGTGTGTCCCTTGCCATTCCCTATCACTCCTCTCTGAGAGAGACTTCACCCTGATTCATAAGGAAAAGGGGATGGCGTATTCTCTTAGCTACTTCCTGCTGAAAAGGGACACTGTGGGTTTCAGGGTGAATGTCTTCTCTCACTACTCTAAAGGGCCCCCTTGGCAGTAGGAAACACATAGACTATTATGGAGATTGATTTTGGAATTTAGATGCACTGTTACCAATTGTGCTTAGCCGTACATGTTCATATCCTTGAAGATGTATCATGGAAGTGTTGCAGCGTAGAAGATACAAATTTAACTAACAAGTTAAAAGTGCATGAGTCAAAAATTGAAAAGCAATAATATTCTGAGTAGAGGTTCTAATAGTGGCACAAATCAAGTTACAGAGGTAAGGTGGTTCCATTGCCATCCTTACTCTAACTTCTTTTTTTTTTTAATTTAAATTTGTTATTAATTTCAGTGAAAATTTACAGAGGCTTTGGATTTCCATTCATTCATTGTTGTAGATTTGTCCCCTCCCAAGGCTCCCCCCCCACCAGACATTACCCTCTTGGAAAAGTAAAAGAAAAGATTCTTTCATTATTTTACAAACCCTCCCCCAGGTCCACTCCACCATGTAGCCATCGCTCTAGACTCCTGTCATGACCGAAATACCTAATCACATATCTCTTTTAAACAGTTTTCTCCCTTCTCTGTTTCAGTGCAGTATACATTATTGAACCCATCTTACTCAGTCTCTCCCCAACCCCAAGGACAGTCCCATTCTACAACAGATCTTTCACATTCTTTAGTCATGCAATGAAAGGAAATTGAAATGACCAAAAGGTTTGATAATTGTTCAGAAGAAAACATGGAGTAATCACAGATAATTTGTAAATAGTTAATATCATTGAGTTCTGCTCACACAGATTAGCCCCAAATAATACTATCTCACTTTTAGGCAACATCTTTACTATAATGTATTTCTAGTGATGTCTGGGTTTGAAAGAGTAAGACTATACAGTTCTGTCATAAAAAGGGACCGGTTATACTGTGTTCTTTTCTAAGTAATGAAACAAACAGCACTAACAAGGATTTGGCTGTCAAAAAAGCAGAAGCTAGGCCATGCAATAATAAAACCAGGTCTTTTCATTCTAAACAGGGCTTATTTTTTTACCATCCCAAATCAAAAAACCTTTTTGGGAGAAAAAAAAAGCATGATATCTCCCCTTGATTTTATTTTTAGGATATATATGTGTACACACATGTACATAGGTGCATTATGAATTAAGTCTTATAAAACTAATACATGTAGATAATTTTTAAGTCAATAGTATAAACCTTAATAAAGAAACTCTCTTTCCTGCATTGTTTTCAATTTTTATTATTTTTTCCTTGAGGCAAGAACTTTCATTTCTTTTAGTTGTTTCTTTTTCAATTTACTTACTTCATTATGAATAATATATTTATATCGCTTGATTTTATAAATAATATATTTCTATATCTTGATTTTTCAACTTAAGTACTACCATTGCTGTACTTCTATTTATATAAAGATTTGATTGCTTTCTCTTCTTTTCTTTACCTCATAGTTCTTCTAACATAGTTGTATTACAACTTTTAGCTTCCATTTTTCTGGTTGAATGGATATATAATGAATCAGTGTTTATATTATCACTATATAAATTTCTTCATTGTTGAGCTATATATTTAGACTATATATCTTAGAAAAGTACACTTGTAGCCATAAACTCCAGATTCAAATAGTTTGCAGCCACAAAGATTTAGTTCTTACTCATTTTACAAGAGTTTGTATTAGCTGGGGTTTGCTAGCCTTGGTTGTACTAATCCCATCTTGACTTCATGTGTCTTCTCTCTCTGGGATTCAATATCAAAGAATAGAGATTATCATTATCTGAAGCAGAAGCCTAAATAAATGATTTCCAGTCATGATTGTTGAAAATGCTTCTGTCAGAGTCCTTAGTGCATAACCACATACTTAATACATATTTGGTAAATTAATGAGTGATTGAATAAATGAGCAAGTAGAAGCAGTGTGTTTTTGTTATGTGCCATCGAGACTCCTGCAACTCGTAGCGACCCTATGTACAACAGCCCTAAACACTATCCAGGTTCAGATATTACACTCATCCTAGATTCATGACTTTTGTCAAATTTACTATGTATGTCACAATTTCCTGGTCTGTAAAATGGCAGTCCTCAGGATTGTTTGAGAATTACATGTTTGTAATATAAAGCAGTTAAGCAGTAGTATAATGCACACATAGCAAACACTTAAATTTTATCTATTACTATAAGTAAAACCCCCAACAAGATGGATTGACATGGTAGCTTCAGAAGTGAGCTCTAGTGTGTCAGAAATGATGAGGATGGCACAGGATAGGGCAAGACTCAGGTCAGCTGTTCACTGGGTCACTGAATTGTACTCGATTCAGTGACACCTAACAACAACTACAACAACTGTATTCTAGAAACCTCTGGTGGTTTAATGGTAAGGAATTTTTCTGTCAATGCAAAGGTGGTGGTTCAAATCCACCAGCTGTTCCTTAGGAAAAAGATGGACAGTCTCCTGTGTGATTTACTGCCTCTGAAAACCCACTGGAGGGTCAGCTATGGGTTGATTGTAACTTGAAGGTAATTACTTTTATTACTGTTAATATGAATGAAGAATAATTATGTACTGAAATAAAAATATTGCTTAACTTTTAAAGATCACAATATTTCTCTCTGAAATTTATATATATATGTGTGTGTACATATATCAATCATATAGTCATATATATGATTTCTTGTAGAATTTTCCATTTTTTCAAATGATTGTGTTGTTGTTAAGTGCCATCAACATTCCTGGAGGGTAGATACATGTTATCCTGTTTTGATAGATGGGAACTAAAGTTTAGAGATGTGCCTTTACTTGCGTAAATCTATGCAACTGGAAAGTGGGAGTTTAGTTCTGACAGATACTCTTTTCTTCACTCGGGTTCAGTAGAGTAAACAATTTCAAGTCCGTTTTCCTTTTGCTATGCCCTGATTTACAACAATTTATTTGATAAAATTGTACTCTAAGTCAGATCCATATAGAATGATCTTTGTAAAGATGATGCCCATTAGCCATCAGGCATAGAGAGTATGTGTATAATACACCTAAATAAGATTCTTTTTTCCCCCTATGGAAGTAAAAGGAACACTTAAAAATGCCTTGCTTCTCTTAGTTACTTTGATGCAGTACTGCTTCCCGGATCTGTCTTCCAGTTTGTCATCCATGCATCTACCTTTACCCCCAGCCTGCCAGAACATTATGTTTCCGTGAACAGATGAAGTGCTTACACATTCATAGACTGAGACGCCAAGAATTCAGTTGGGTTCTCTCATTGCTCCAAGCAGATTTCTGCCTTCTCAGCCATGACAACTCGGGCTGGGCTTTGAATACTGATGGCAGACCCTTTTATTATTAATCAAGGATTCGATGAATTAATCTAAGAACATGAGAGGAATGGGAGCTTCAAATCAGAATCAAACTTAACATCCTAAATAAGTGATACTGCTCCATGACTTTTAAAACTCTTAACAAATAAAACAACAACTTGGTAAGCTTTGATGATACACTAAGAGTACATAACCGTAAAATTAAATGCTTAGCTGAATATTTTAATAGCTTAGCAGTAAAAAGACATGTACCTACTGTAACAAGTTTGGAAACAATTATTGTTTTGAAAATACATCAGCTCTTATTTGCGTTTAGCTATCTAGTATTTGACCATTAGATCTTTCATTACAGATTCTTTCAGATGGCAAATGTCTTAATTTAAAATATGCACTTAATAGATTTAGCCTCATTTTAGTC